AAGGGGGTATTGGGCCTAATTGGGCTTTCGTATTTCGTAATTAGGCTTAGGTCATTGTTGTATATCAAACCTACTTGTATAAAAGGCATTGCCTCAACACCTTGATCAATAAGAAATCCTTTTACCACATTAACGATTTCTTGACAGGTAAATCTCTGAAATTCAATTTTTTTTATGGTATGTCGCTTTTATGGGCTTATGAAGGTTCATATTTTGCCTTTCAAATAGCTTTGACAGTTTCCATGGTGACTTAGGTTGCATTTGAATCCAGTTAATATGTCCCACCCGTATTCAATTTTAACATAATTCTTACTACCAAGTGTCTAATATATTTCTAAACGCTACTTCTAACCATATAGATTAGAAGGCGAGACAACTGCTTTTCAATGTTTTGGTCTTTGATAAATACAAATTCGTGGAGACCATGACTCCTGCAATTTCAGGAGATGATCCAGCTCTCTTATTCTTTTCACTTAAGGTACATGTCTTCTCTTCTTTAGACTTACACTTCAAGAGACCATACAGAGTTGATTCGTTATTGGTTTGTGATTTAATTTGAAACTCACAAGCTTACAACCGTACATAATTTTTCAAGTCGATAAATTCTTTGTGTTTCTTTCCATCGTTACTATTAAAAATTAAGACTTTTGAGAAAGTGTAAGACGTTTAATTTACACTCTTTTTGTTTTTAGAAAAGCGTCAACAATATTAGATGGTACATAGAAACTACTCTCGCAGGCTCGGAGCTGCTTGAAAGGGTTCGAAAACTTAAGGTTTCTAACTATTCAACTTTTTTTAATCCACTTTGCCGAGACAACAGTAGACAATGATGATGACTTGAACGTGATAACATGTAGAGAAATTTATGAGATTACTTAATTAAATGAAAAAACTGAATGGGCATATTCTAAATTTATGAAAATTAGGGGTGATAAACAAACATGTATAACAAAAATATAAGGACGCTTCATCATAATTTTAAAAATTTGTTACCCATGTTTGGTTCATATATATATATATATATATATATATATATATATATATATCAATGGTAGTTATTATGTATCAAGCTTTGCAACTTCTTGTGTTCCGATGGGATTGTTACTTGCTTAGTGTTTGATGTGATAATCGAAAGAATTCGAATGAAATATCAACAAGACATCGTGTTCACGAATAGCAAGACCAATTTATTCATGATGGAGTATATACACCAGATTTGAGCTGAGAGAATAATAAAAAATCGTTGGAATAGGAGTTATCGAAATCAGTACCGGACTAATCAATTTAAATGTCTTAGTCAAAATTTTAAAAATATATATTTTTTAGATTTTTTAAAATAAAAAAAACAATAAGAAAACAAAAATAAATTTCATAAAACATTTCAATTCCATAAATAATTTATAAATCAATAAAAAATCAATAAAACTAATATTTTATTATTGAAATATAGTTTTTTTGTGTTTTTACCTATAAACTTATTCATTAAATTATCATAGTTAACAAAACTAACTCATTTAATAGTCTGATAACATGGTAGACTACAAATAACTTTTATTAGTTTTAACTTCAGTCATAACTATCTCAATAAATCATAACATGTTTATGATTTTTTTTTCTAAAATAGAATTTATTTGATAAAATAATAATTATTATAAAATATGCCCTTAACTAATATTTTTTTAGAAAAAAAATCCATAAACATTACTAAAAAAATTTACAAATATCATTATCTTATAAAAATAACTTAGAGAAAAAAATTTTAACCAAATTATGCCAAAAAAAAACGGGATGTCCTATACCGTCATCTACTTTGCCTATGCTCTGGGCCGGGATTGACCGAAAGCACTAGGCTTCGCCGAATAAGAAAAGTAACTATGAAATAAGAAAGAGACTAACAAGAAGACATATTATATACACTTCAATAATCAAAATATAGAAAACTCAAATAAAAATAATACAGAGACATTTAGTATGGGCGTGTTAAAGTCCAAACAAAATAGAATACAATTTCCTTGCGACAACCTAAAATTAGGAATACATTATTTAAACTTACAAGTTCAAGAACTTCGCCAATTCGTCAAATGGAAAAAAACAATCAAATTAGAAATCAATCCAAAGATTCCTTACAGAAAGTAGGAAAGGAGAAGAATAAGAAGGAGAAGCAAGTTCTCCGGGAAAGGGAAGTAAAAAAATATAGACGAGAATGGAGGACGGCAAAGAAAAATATATAAGCAAGTGATGTCGTTTAACAAAAGAGCCATCTACGGTAAACAAATTACCCCGTTTCAAATTACAATAAGAAAAATTACCAAAAATATGGGCATCAATCCAAACTTAAATGGCCACAATACAAGCCCTCTAATTGGAAACTAAAAAAAAATTAACCAACTTTTCATCACAATTTAAAACTCAAACCTGTTGAAGTTGAAGTTAACTCACAAAATCTAACATATAACAAACAATACAATACAATCAATATAAACAAAATGACAAACTACCAACAAATAACGCTCTTTCTCATATCAAACTTGACCCTTTAACACGAACATACATCAAACCATCCATCTTACTATTACCCGCTCACGAATTAGAGGTGGATCCAAAAACATTTATACTGGGTGAATAAATAGCAAAATAAAAAAAAAATGTTTTTTTTAATTACATATTTATACTATAATTTTGAGATAAAAAAATAAAGAAACATAGTAGAAAAAATTAGGAAGTATATGTTTTAAATAGAAATTAAGATTTTCAAAATGCAAAATTAAGAGAACATAATTGGGTTTAAGAATTTTATATGCACACTTTTTATATTTTAGTCTAGAAGAAATGCAATTTTTAAAAGATTACACAGATTCTCAACATAAATTAAAAAATTAAATAATTTCATCTAAAATTCCAAAAAAAATTAATTTTAAAATTTGGTCAAATTCTACAAATTTATACTACAAAAATGAACGATTTATTAGTAGTACCAATACAAACTTATCTAAATTAAATATTGTTAACCAATAACAGAAAGTAATTCAATCTAAGCATTGTATCTATACAACACCATGAAAAATAAACTTGATATCTATCAAACAATAAATACATAATAAAAAAGCCAAAAAACAAGAAAATTAACTTATAAACCAAAAATTGAACAAATCTGCGCGGACAGTCCCTAGTGATAGTGATCTGATTGAAGTTTGGGGTTTGTAGATTGTTTTTTCGCCAAATATTGGACTATTTTCTAAATTTTGAGGCTTACAAGAAAAAAAAAAGAGTGAATCTTTTGTCATAACGAGGTTAAGTTGGATCTGACACGCATGAACGTGTGTTAATTAATGAAACTAGATAAACTAAAAGAGAGTATTAGTGTTAGTGTTTCAATGAAGCTAAAAGGTTAATATCTGCTGTAACCTGAAGATGAGATTTAGAAGAGACAAAAACTGTTATTGTGCATGTGCACTAAGCTGCCTCCTCGCTTGTCCCCTTCTTCTCCTCCTTAATATTCCTTCTTTACTTAGTTTAATCTAAATTAATGGTAATTATAATATTTTGATCAACAGTCTTACACCCATTATAAATTGGCCTTAATTTGTTCTGGATCGAATCTCTGGTAGCTAGAGTCTCTTTTCAGATGGCCACGAGAGCCGATGAAAGGTCATTATTATAATTCATTTTCTTCGAATCTTTCGTTGAAAACTAAGTTTTTAACAATATTTTCAATTGATGAATGTGTTAGTCACACGATGATCTAATGTCTTGCATCTAAAACAAATAATCGACACATGATCGACTCCGAATAAATCAGTCCATAACCAAATCATATATAGTAGAATTTACTCATTTTACCATCTTTTTAAAAAGAAAAACACTTTTGTGGATCTATCACTTTGTCAAAGTGGTACTAGGAATTGCATGCTCATACCTCGTTTTCAGTAAGCAAATTTGCTTGCATATACCTTATTTATAGATGCATGTTATGAATTTATGATAAGTCCACAAACATAGCAAATTAATCGAGGTAAAGATTATATACTGTGCGGGACTTGAGGTCCGAACAGAAGGATAATAATTGTGGATAATTTAGAGATAGTACAAACAATGTATCCTTAGGCAATAGTTAAGAATAAAGTTGAAGCTGGACCTCTTTTTCCATAGTAAATTTCTCGATTGATCTAAACTTTGTCGCCTCAGTAATGTAAAAACGCAAATTTAAACATGAATAAATAAGAAAAATAACTAAGTTGTTGTGCATGAAGTGAAAGAATGGGAAAGGCCAGGTTTTAGATTCAAACCATATAGAGTGCAGACTATTTTAGAAGCTTCGTGAGTCCTTTGTCATGATTTTGTGCTCTAAAAAATTGTTCTCTATTGCTTATAACAAATCAATGTTTTATGATAAGATAGATGTTAGGATCTATTGTGTACAAATGCTACATCACATTTAAACATAAAATATATATAAAATGATTATACCTAGAGAGTATATATAAAATTCCAGCAGGTTGAATCCCTTGGAAATTTCTAACAGATTATAAAAGCATCAAATTATATTAGAAATCTGTTAAAATTTTCTGAGATATTATATTAGTGGACAATTCCGCCAGATTTACCCTTATTTTCTTGTATAAAAAATATAAAGACACAAACATAATATGAACCCGCGCGGGGGTCAACTCTAGTAATTTGAAACAAGAGGGAGTAATTTATTTTGAAGTAGATCGAGATAACATGAAACTCCTTGGTAGTAGTGATATTAACACATGTTATTAATATATACTATTTTAAATATGGACAGCTCGGAGACACGTTTGGGTGAATTCAAACCAATGATATAGTATATGACAAGTTGAATATAAAATCGTAACTAGTCTAATTAAATTAACTTATGTTCACATCTATACAACTTTCAGTCAAGATGAGGAAGGTGGGAGTATAAATGTAACACACTGACACACACATTTTGTCATAACAAATTCAATCAAAGAAGTTTTTTTTTTACAGAAAAAATGCAATCTGATGATGAAGAAGAAGGGCCCGTATGTCGTCTGTCTCATCCAGCTCATCCTCACACCCTCTCCTATCGAACTGGCGGGAAGCCTCCGTCTGGTTGCTTTGCAAGCGGCAAAGAAATGACGTTTTGCGATGCATTCTACTATCTATGTAAAACATGTGATGTAGAGTTCCATGATCGTTGTCACATGTCGCCGAGGAAGATGACACACCCTTTTCACCCACAACATCCTCTTGTTTTCAGTGTTTTAAACCACAAAACCATGATCATATATGAGTGCAACCTACATGAATACTATGACGAGGGATTCACCCCCCAATCCGGCATACCTGATCATGGTAACGTTTTTGAAACATGCACTTGGTGTGGAGGAAATTTGAAAGATTACAGTTTTTTCTACCGTTGTTCAATCTGTAACTTTTGCTTGGATCCACCTTGTTCCAAAATATTCCCACTTCCTACTATCCCAAATCCAAAAAGCCATCACCATTCACTCTTTTTCCTTCCTCGGCCACTTTTGCTTCCATGTGATGCATGTGGGTTGGTAGAAAAAAAGAATCCAAGTTATACTTGTCTTCAATGTAACTACATTGTCCACGAGAGCTGTATAGATTTACCACGCATCATAAAAATCACTCGCCATCCCCATCGCCTCTTTTATAGACCTTTTCTTTCACCCACACTTTCATCGTCATGTCGACTTTGCTACAAGACAGTTGATATTAAGTATGGTCAGTATTCTTGCAATCATGAGGATTGCTCTTATGTGGCTCATTCCAAATGTTCAACTCATACAACAGTATGGGATGGGAGCGAACTCGAATGGGAACCTGAAGAATCTGTTGAAACTGAAGAAGATGTTGCCCCATTCAAGAGAGTTGGTGATGATTTGATAATACATTTTTGTCATGAACATCATCTTAGGCTTGACAAGTATAATGGTGTTCGAGATGCTGAGAAGCAATGTCAAGCGTGCACACTTCATATCGATTCTCGCGATTTCTACAATTGCGTGCAGTGTGACTACTTTCTCCATGAGGTATGTGCCAATCTTCCTCGGAAACTTGATCATGCATTGCATAATCACCCTCTTGTCCTAGATCCGTCTCCTCCACAAGAATACAGCTTTCTCTCCGTAGGCTGTTCAGTTTGTTCTCGGGCGTTCACGGGTTTTAGGTACAAGTGCTGCAAAGATGGTTGTGGCGAAGAGAGTCGCAGACAGTTTCAAGTAGATGTTCGGTGCATCTTAGTTCCTGATTATTTCACTCACAAGAGCCATGAACATCCCTTGTTCATCCCCATTTCTACTGGTGAAGCAATGATTTTTTGTGCGAGTTGCGAACGTAGGTGTGCTGGTTACTATCTGCAATGTACTTTATGTGACTTTGCAATATGTTATGAATGTGCTACCATTCCAAATAAGTTACACAACAAATATGATGTACATCAACCTCTCTCCCTCTGCTACGGAGACGTCTCGGACGAAACATATTGGTGCGAAGTATGTGAGGAAGAAATAGATCAAAGAGAATGGTTCTACACATGCAACAAACCTTGCATCACTATCCACCGGAGTTGCCTATTTGGGTCTTTCGCTTATATGAAGCCAGGCTACACGTTCCATTACAACAGATCTTTAAGTGTGAAAGTTGTTTCCAACACTAGTAACACTCGACCGATTTGCCATCATTGTGGTTTCCGCTGCTCGAGCTCTGTATACTTGGAGTTGTCTACTGAGACGCATATGTGTTCTTTCAGCTGTCTTACATTTTTGATGTGAGAAAGCTAAGTTGAGAGAAATGTTATGAACTTCTGTTGTTCAGTATTACTATGTGTTTTTTTTTTTGGTTCTACTAGAGAATAAAACATCCTTTTGAATTCGATGATTATCAATATCTCTTCTTTTATATAACCATATGATTCAGTTTCTTGCAAATTATGCAATACCATCACAAGATCTTGTGTCGATTAACAAGTTTTTGCACATAATATAATTATTGAAGAATTTGATTTAATATTTAGTTATTTAGACTTTAAAGGTTATATAATATGTTGATGGAACCATGTTGAAGCCACCGTCCACTATATTTAAAGTTCAATGGCCGTGAGCTGGCATAATTTACCATGGTAACACTTTCGAAACCTGCACGTGGTGTGGAGGAGTTTTGAAAGATTATCAGTTTTTTTTCTTTCTATCGTTTTCGAATTTGCTATATGTTATGAATGTGCGGCCATATATTCCAGATAAGTTACACAACAAATATGATGTACATCATCCATTCTCCATTTGCTACGACGGAGAAGTCTCAGATGAAACATATTTATTGGTGCGAGGTATGTGAGAATGGTACTACACATGCAACAAACCTTGCAACATGAAAAAATGATGAGAGTAAGTATATAAAAGTGTTAGAAAGAATTATTAGACTCTCATGAGAACAATTGTACAAGTTATCTCTATCGAGATCTAAGATACAAATATAAACAATATATTTAGAGAAAAATGTAAAAATTTTAAAATATTGGTAACTATACAAATTTCATGATTTTTTTATAATTTCCGTTAGGTTCAGTGTCACCGATCTCCCAATATAACATTATCCACTGTTGGACCTTCCGCCATATTAAGCCAGACTACACGCTCTATTATATATACTAGTGTGAAAGTTCTTTCCGACTCATGGTATTGTATTGGGTAATTTTATCCTACTCGACCTGAACCCAAAATGAACCCGTCCGTTTTAAACTATGTATCGGTTAATCCTATTGGAATTTATTATCCTATAATGTAACCTAAATAAATTTATGAGTTTTAAAGTTTACCCGTGGGTACCCTAAATTTTTTTTTAATATATATACTGTAAAAAAATAACATAAATTATTAGTTTACTTGATGTCAAATAATCTAAAACAAAACAAATGATGTTTTAATAAAAATTTATACATCTTGAAAGAAAAAAAAACAAGTTACAACTTAGGCCATGTTTGTTTTTTTATCTAGATGTTGAATCTAGATTTAGTATCTAGATGCTGCATCTAGATACAACATCTAGATATTGTTTGTTTTGGAAATTTACTTTACATCAAGATTATGTGTCTAGATACATAATTATTTGTTATGAATCTATGAAAATAGTTGGATGCAAAATATATATAATGACTAAAAAGACATACTTTTGAATTATTTGTTTTATTTTTTATCAAATTTGTTTTATATTAAATTAAGCTAAAATTATTTCAAAGTGATATTTTTATCAGATTAATTTTTAAATATACATTAAAAAAACAATTTTGTATTTTTTATGAAAACATCATTTCATAGATTTGTCAGAAATTTTTTTTTTACATTTTGGCGGGAAATCAGAATTTTTAGCAGGAAATCCAAATTTTGCATTTTGACGGAAAATCAAAATTTTGCGGAAAAACATCATTTATCAGATTTGACGGTCAAATTGGCGATTTTGCAGTTTTGGCAGGAAATAAATTTTTGTGTTTTTGTTGAAAAACCGAGATTTTATGTTAGGAGGAAAAATGAAATTTTGCGTTTTTAGCGGGAAACCGAGATTTTGTGTTTCTGGCAGGAAACCGAGATATTATGTTTTTGGCAAAAAATAAAATTTTGCGTTTTCAAGGGGTAACTGATATTTTACGTTTTTAGCAGGAAACCGAGATTTTGGGTTTTTAGCGGGAACTTTTATGTTTTTGGCGAAAAAATGAAATTTTGTGTTTTTAGCAGAAAACCAAAATTTTGCTTTTTTGGCGGGAAAACAAGATTTTATTTTTTTGGCGAGAAAACGAGATTTAGCGTCTTTTTCGGAAACCAAGATTCAGCGTTTTTGACGGTAAACCGAGATTTTGAATTATTAGAAGATAAAAAATTATTCATGGGCTATATATATCATGTTTATCTGTAAGCCCATCACAAATCTATCATTAAAAAAACCCACGGGTACCCTAAACCCAATAGGCTAGAACCCGACAGGGTAGAATGAAAACCAAACTGCCTGTTTTAAACACGCATGTTTTTTTTTGCTAAAAGAACAGAGTATTGGGTAGGAAAAAATTAAGTGAGAATGTATGAAACTATCCTCCAACCCATGTTTATTGCCAGATTAGCCTTCAATAAGTCTACCTTGCTAAATAATCCTTATTAAACTTGCCATTATCTAATTTATCCATATGTTTGAAATTATTACAAAATTGCTATTATTTTGTTATTTTTTTTTATAAATTTTGTGTAGGAAATTTTTTAAAGAGATATTAAGGTAATTAAAAACAATTAGGTTTAGGAAATCATATGTTGGGTTCTAAAAAAAAAAATCTGAAGCGATGACATAAAAGGCGATTGGCGGCGAACTAGGGTTTGTTTTTCTCCGACCAGATTCCGGCATGGACTAAAGGTTTTCTGGTAAGGTTTTTCTTTCTCGCACTTTTCTGTACTTTCCTTTTTGTTAAGGGATGTTTCTGTGGAGTTCCAACGACAACGAAGTGCAGAGTTACGACGACGAAGACGAAGTGCAGAGTTACGATGACGACGATGAAGTGCAGAGTTACAACGGTGAAGTTGGAGCTCGCGGCGGCGGCTGATTTTTGTGAAAAATCTAACCCTAATTTTTTTTTTGCAGGTGTTAGGCAAAATTCTGGTGGGTTAGGAGAAATTCCGGTGAGGGTGACGAAATTCCAGTGAGGGTGAAGAATTTGCGGTGAGTCATGGTTATTGTATGGTCGATTTCTTCATTACATTGTAGTCGATTTTTTTAGTTTTGATGGTAGATTTAAACGGTATAGTATAGTTTGGTAGACTTGGTTATAAATGATAGAGTTTTGTTTGGTATACTTGTTCATAAATGATAGATACTGGTAGACTTGTTTGTATAGAGATTGGTAGACTTGTTCGTAAATGAGAGATAGACTTGTTTGTAAATGATAGAGTTATGTATGGTATACTTGTTCGTAAATAATAGAGATTGATAGACTTGTTTGTATTGAGACTGGTAGACTTGTTCGTATAGAGACTGGTAGACTTGTTCGTATAGAGATTGGTAGACTTGCTCGTAAATGATTGAGTAGTAGACTTGTTTGTAAATGATAGAGTTATGTTTGGTATACTTGTTTGAAAAGATAGATATTGGTATACTTGTTCGTAAATGGTTGAAAGTGGTGGACTAATTGTTATTTGTTGTATAGTTTTGTAGATCTGTTTTGCTAGAGTGTTATGTCACCTTGTTATATTCTTAGATCTTTTTTTACATTCTGGAAGTTATTACATCAATGCAGAGATGGGCTCTTCTAGCAAGACGAATGAGTACCCACCCACACGAACCAGAAGAAGCCCAGATGTCTGATTCAACGCGTGTTGAAGCGGACGACAAGTACGGACCCGATACAAACTCGGCGAAATGAGAAGGATAGGATGAGGTAAACTTTTTGGGATCAAATATTCGTTTATGGGTAGACTTATTTTGTATGTGAAACTCTTATGATGGTAGACTTGTTATGTCAAACCCTGACGAAAGTAGACTTTTATTGTTTTGTACGTCGAATTCGAACGCAGTAGACTTCTATGTTGGATGTTTTTAGGACACGTTGATGCTTTCAAAGGACCATGTTTTTTTTTTTTTGCAAGATGTTAGTCCTTTGAAATTTTGGTATATTTGTTGTCGAAACCGTTAATTATTGGGGTATTTTGCATCAAGTAGGACAAGTTCAATACAAACAGAGTTCGAAAAAGCAGAAGGTCGTACAAGTCCGGTAGACCGATTATTACAAGATAGTTCCAAAAAAGTTGTACATAGAAAGTTTAGGCTTTGCATGTGACGCGATTATGTCCACATTTACCACAGTTAGAGCATTTAGGCATCTGTCTGGGACGTTTGTTCGCCATGGCAATCTCGTATGCACTCTTAATGCGTGTCTTCTTTGGCCTACCCGGAGGATTGCGAACGAAAGGAGGATGACAAACTTTGTTAGCCACTTAATCTGGCACCGGTAGTGCTACATCTCTTAGCATTACACTTCCTGTGTAAGCATGTTGCAAGTAGTTCGTTTGGTAGTAGGGATGGCATAAGGAGATTCGTGAAGTTTTTCTTGCTTCCGCAGCGGCTATGGCATGTACACAAGGGATTTTATAAAGATCAAACCTACGACAGATACATGTTTTTTTCCTCAAATTGACAACATGCGCAGAAGTTGTGCCCATAACCTCCAAATGATCTACATCAATTACTTGCACAAGCAAAAGTTTGGCATCTTCAACTCTGACCTGTTTAAGAAATATGTCAAGAAGTCTACTACAACTGCTACTTCAAATAACATGTCAATCATAAAATAAAAATAAGTCTACCAATATGTAACACGTCTACTACAGATGTAAATGAAGTTTGCTCCATGATTTAAGGTGATCGAAGGAATATTTTGTGAGAAGATGTGGAATGATGAAAATAACTTGTTATAAAGAAACAGATACATGCAACAAATTTTGAAGTCCCACAGTTCGACGACTGCAACCCTAATCGAAGAAGATGACACAATCATCTTTTTTGTAAAATTACGAACAAATGTGGGCAAAATAGTCATTTCACGTTTCCAAAAAGTTAAATATCTATCAATAAAGAAGGTTCATAAGTCTAGCAACCTCGCAAATACTTATAAGTCTACTAAACTGAACAATATTTTGGCATGATGAGGTTATCTGATTAAGTACCAAAAACAAATATAAGTCTACCATAATTGTAAATCAAAAATATTAAATCTATCAAAAATTAATAAATCTATCATGCTTGTAATTAAATCAACCACATTATTTACTGAATTTTGATGGTTTTAAATCTACCATTAATACTAATAAATCTATCAAATTCTAATAGAGCTACAATAAATAGTAATAAATCTATCAACCTAAATAAGTCTATCGTACATCAAAATAAATAAATCTGTCACCATTACAAATAAGTCTACCAAATTTTAAGATAAATCTGTCACCACTAGTATTTAAATCTATCAAAAAAAGTCAAACACTTACCATAAGTCAACAGAATATTTATAAGTTTATCATAAAGGACAATAAATCTACCAACAAATAATATGTCTATCAACAAATAATATGTCTACCAACAAAAAATATGTCTGCTATAATACTGAAATATGTCTACTATAATACTGAAATATGTCTACTATAATACTGAAATATGTCTACTAAAATAAGTCTACTAATTTTACACAAATCTAACTTCTGTCAAATAACCAACAAAATTTTGCGTTGACCAAATTTTAACAAGTCTACTACAAATATTGATAGATTTAAGTTTAATTCCGTACTACTTTTTGCTTATATGACATATAAAAAATAATAGCATTTTTATAATACTGTTTTTTTCAACAAAGCTCAAAAAGTCATTTTCGGTATACGAAGTTAATCCAATATAAAATATAAAAATATATCAAACTATTAATAAACATAGTTTTAGAGAATAGTTTAGTAATCTTCCCAAAATTAAAGGGTTTCGGGTACCCATGGGGTAAAAACCCAACAATAACACCCCTATTTCCAACACTAGACACTCGACCATTTGTAATCAATATGGCTATCGCTGCTGGACCCCTGTATACTTCGAGCTGACTAAAGTGAAGCATATGTGTTTCTTCGATTAATTAGTCATTTTGACGTGGAAAAGTTAAGTTGTGAGAAATGTTATGAACTTTTCTGTTGTGCGTATTTTTTTTTTTTCTCTTTCTATTAGACTTGTTGTATTCACACCACTTGTGAAAAATAAAACACCCTTTTGAATTCGATAATTTATCAAAATCTCCTGTTATATAACCATAGGATTATTCAGTGGCTTACAAGATCTTGTGTTGATTGTATCGAGGACTAAAGAAACTAATAGTTCTAGAGTAAGGAAAATAGATGGCTTTGCATCATCTACAATACATATATATATATATATATATAAGATATCTAATTAATTTGCATATATCATATTACTCGGGACAAAAATCCTCTATATCGATGGAAAAGATGAAACATATTGGTTCCAAGTCACTAGATGGTACCGTACAAGTAAAAATTGTGGAGTGAGAATGCGACTGAATGAAGAAGACCTTCTCACTTGTCCGGAAGGGATCTCCGTCTTGGCTTTAAGCCCCCTGAGTATTTTGTAGTTCACCTGAAGAGACTTGAGAGTTTTCTTGGTCTCTTTGTCTTCTCTGATGATAATGAGTCGCTCTCCTCTTTACTAGACGCTTGCTGACTTGGTTTCACAAGAACTTTTAGAAGATCGCTCATAGATTTGTCGGAAACGAAGCCGTGTTTTGCATCTTGAATCTCCTTCATAGGCATGTCGTTCGGTTTCAATTTATGTGTCTCCTTCAAACGGTTCTTCGAAGTCTTCTGCTTAGGCAGATCAGAGACTGGTGATTTAGTGCCACGCTTGTTGTTCTTTTGGACTACGGTCTGATGCTCATTCTTAGCTGGACCAGAGAGACTTTCCAGAGTCTCTTGCTCAGCTGATTTTGACCTCTTTGAAGTCTTTTGCTTCGAATCCTTCGGGGCTAGTGCTTCTTTACGTCGCTTAGATTTTTGGACTACTACAGACTGATCTTGATTCTTTGCTTGACCAGAGAAGGTTGATTCCACAGTCTCTTGCTCAGCTGTATTTGACCTCTTTGAAGTCTTTTGCTTCGGATCCTTTGGGGCTAGTGCTTCTTTGCGACGTCGCTTAGGTTTTTGGACAACTACAGACTTATCTTGATTCTTTGCTTGACCAGAGAGTGTTGAGTCTGGACACATCTCAGTCTCTTGGTCATTCTTGTGCTCACAGTCTTCTCTCATCCTCTTCAAATTTCTTTGGTGAGCCTTGAAAACAGATGATGCTTTAGAGCCATGGACTAGAGCTTGACCGTTGCAATCCTCCTTTGATTGTTTAGAAACTACCAACTCAGCCTTCTCCTCCATACAAGCCGCTGGAACTATTTGATCTCTGGAGCTCTGTTTCTTCTCGACTGAATTTGGCTGTTCGATGATGGTGTCCATAATGATTTTGCCAAGAACAAATCCTATTTCGCATGGACTTCCCTTCCCAAGTGAGATATAGTCAATAGAGAATCCTTCTTTTTTGCTTTCATATGATTCCACATCACTCAATCTCGCAAACCAATCTGCTACATCTTTCCGCTTTGTCTTCGGTATAAACACCTGAGAAACCGCGTAAAAACAATTGTTCGATTAAGAAAAGTTGAAGCAGAGATTTGAGGAATTTGAGTACAAGATCGAACATAGATCAGCAAAACTTAAACCGAGTATTTATATCGTAGTAAAATGCACTTTGTACTTACCAGACCAGAGCATTTGAAGTCTGGGTATAGGTGTAGGGCTTCGCGGAGAGCCTCCATTTCAGTCAGAACAATTAAAGTTTTTCTAACTAGATATGCGAACTCTGAAACTGCTTCTGCAAGATCTTTATCGGATCTCTTACTCGAAGATTTAGATATCTCAGAGGCGTATCCTAGTACTGAGTTTTCATGTTCTCTAGCAAATTTGACAGCTCTGCTCCAGTTTCTATGGTAGAGCAGGGAGGCAAAAGCGTGCAGTACAATAGCCTCCTGAGGGCTACGCACTAGTGCAGTGTGAAAAGCCAACACTGCAATCCTGTTCAAAACAAATCAGGACATGATTGAAAGAGACGATTCGTATTCCTATAGAGATAGAGAAACAACGCACCATAGTCTTGAGTCAGCAGGCTGATCGCAGGAAACCAACTTATCCATATTGGAGAATAACCTCTGCATCAAACAACAGTAAACCCGACTCAGAAAATGTCCAAAAAAAGGGGATCATTAGAAAACGTTCCTTGCATAAAGAAGTCACGTACTACTAGCATTGAGGAACTTGGTGGAGATGTTTTACTAGCTTGATCCAGGTAAGCTGCCTGAAATACAAATTCATCCAAGTAAAAACTCAACAACAAAAACAAAAAAAAAAAGTTACAAGATTGACGAGTGAGAGCAAATGATATACCTGAAAAGGAAGCAAAACGTGAAGTAGTTTGAAATTCATGAGAAGAAGGATGGAAGGTGCAGCAGCTCCATACGCAAGCATATAATTCATCTCCAAAATTAATCTAAACTGAACAAAGAAAAAAGCATGATTGTAATAGCTAAGACCATGAACATATTACTTAAAACAAAGGCGGTGATTCTAAGTATGTCCACATTCAAACAGCCAATACCTGGCCCAAATTTGCGACGGAAGATATAAATTCAGGTATCGCAGTCTCAATATCCTCTGAAAGCGATAGACCCAATCGAGCTGCAATTCTTAACCCCCTGAGAATTCTAGCTGTGATTGGAGAAAACCATGACATATTAGTCAGACACAAGAATAAAGCACCTTGTTCAGATACAAGGCCGTGAGGAGAATAAACTAAGCATACCGCAATCTTCATTGAACGACAGTTGTGCAGGGACAAGTGTACGTAGCTGCATTCGCATTAGTAAACAATGGTTAATACCATAAATGATTACACTGACAATTTTCAAAACGAGTAAGCAAAGTCAGTCACCTTCAGATCCTTCAAGTCTTCCATTCCATTGGAGTAGTCATAAACTTTAAATTCAAAGGGATCATAGAACAAACTGTACATAGATATAATACAACAAGTAAGTTGGGTTTCGATGATGGCATATGTTTATCAAAAAACAGAAAACAGTACACTGTGCTAAAAAGGCATATGTTTCAGAAACTACACCTGTTAACTGTGAAATCCCGTTGCAAGCTATTCCTCCAGAGATTGCAGTCTTTTACATCCCAACCAGAATACATCTTGAAGAGGCTGCTATTCTCGTTTGCCTCAGTATTATGTGGAACACCATATTTCGCTTTGGACTCCCCCAAATCATTTTCATGCTCACTGTCACTTTGTGCCACGGTATCAAAACTGGACACCTATAACACAAAAGGAAAAATTGCACAACGCTTATGGGAACCTGAAACAGAAGATAAAAAAAAAAAGAAGCACAATTCTAAAACTAGGCAAAACCTATGTAAAGGCCAGGAAACTGACCTCAATTACCGAACCTTTCATCCATACGTGACAAATAGGAAACCGTTTCCCAATAACCTGAGCACGATGAAACAGCCGCCGGATCTGTAAGAGAAAAAAAAGACAAGATGAGTGGAGAAGCAATAACCAAAGCATAATGTCCTGAACAAGGTAATATTATCACAAGATTAAGCCATAAGACCTGCTTAAGATTAGCTGTAGTGATCACATCATAGTCTTTTGGCGCTCTATGGAGTATCAAATCCCTCACACATCCACCCACAAGGTATGCATCGAAACCTAAGCACAAAAAAACAAATATTTAGCTTTCTTCTTATTCTTCTACATCAATAATTACAAACCGCAAAACATACACAACACAAACCTTGACGTCTAAGGAGACTCAGTACATTCAAAGAGGATTCCGGAACCATTGAATTTTTAATCCCAGCATCACTTGCTCGTACCTTCTTCCACTTCGATGTATCAACTGTTAAAAACCAATCCATAAGAAAGAAAAGAACAACCTTTAACTTAGAGAACATGTTACCGTCCCAAACCAGCTTTAGTAGTATCACAAAAAAAACAATACAGCACCTGAACTTATGTCTTCATCAATAACTGAACGAATGCTCGAACACTTCTTCATGACTCCCTCAGCGAGCGTGTAATTACTCCTTTGCAGCTAAAGACCAGAAGAAACCCGCAGATGAAGTGTTCGAGCAATTGCCGCAGAGAGATTAACAAACAAAACGAGAGGAGAATTTGACCCACCTTGGAGTAAATGGCGGCTAGGGTTTGAGACCGAAAGATTACGTTCCCTCTGCGCTTAATGATACCCGCCATGGCAAAGACTCGAAATCATGGCTTTTTAAGCCATCTTTTCCGAAGAAAAAAAGGCTCTTTCCGTGACAGAGTCGCGAATTTTTAGGTTTCAAGTGCACAAGTCTAAGCCCGACCGTGATTTTGCTTCTAACCTACCGAACCAGAGTCCACGTCCCCGGTACGGTTCAGGTACAACCCCGGTTCTTTGGGTTTTTGAAATTGCTAGATCGGAAATTTATAAATCAATCAAGGCTAAACCATTAACAATCTAAATTTATTGCTTACATTATTTTTTGTATAACGCAACATCCTTATTCCTTACTACAACAAGTCAGACAAAGTAACATTGTCTTCGGTTGAGGTTTTTTTGTTATTGAATGAAAACAATTTCCCAAACAATTTTGTTGTGTTGCTTGGTATAATGTTCAAGCTAGGCCTAGGAATTCGGGTTAACCGAACCGAAACTGATTTCGGTTTTTCGTGTAATTCCACTGAAATTAATCGAACAAAATAAGGTTCGGTTCGATTCGGTTATCGGGTAATTCGATTTTCAAAAATTCTACCGAATTGAACTTCAAGCTCTTGATCTCCATGAGGAAGAGAATCGTGGAACGAACACCTCTGAACAAAAAAATCTCAAGCGAGCATTATTCGTGTGTTAAATACATTGCCTGTTCTATGTAATCCCAAGTTTCCTTTTGATAATATACCACAAGAACATCACATCATATCACATTAAAACAAAAAAGCCAAAAGAAAAGATGAGGACAATCACAACTGTTTCTTCTTCTTCTCCAAGTATGAATGGCTTCTCTGGAAGTTCAATATAGCCCAGACCAAATGCCTCAGGCCAATCTCAGGCCACAGAGCATCCGGAGAGAAGAGCTGAGTATTACCTGTTTGCCATAGAAGAAAGTTGCTCAGCCTCGTCTCTCCTGAACTCCGGATCAGTATATCAGGATCCGGCGCAACGCTCATCTGCATATTCCCTTCAATATCCACCAACTGTATTCTCTCTACATCCCTATCACCTAACTTGTTCATACACGATTTCTTGACAGCTTGTAAGATCTCATCTGTCGAGTTATAGGCAACGCAGACAAGAAGCACCACTTTACTATTCTTAGCTGTGACCTTCATGACTTCTTCTGCAGCAGCTCTCACTTGGTCACTTAGAAGCGCCAAGTTACCAATAAAATACACACGTATCCCGTACTCATGCGCAAAGCTCTCTTTCTCAAGCAAAGACTTGATCTTTTCAAGCATCAACTCCATTAGATACTGAACTTCTTCAGGACGTCTGTTAAAATTATCTATGCTAAATGCGTATATCGTTACATACTTGATACCTAGCTCGTAGCAGTATTGTAGCATAGACATAAGTGCGGGAAACCCGGCTTTATGGCCAGACCCAACTTCTAGACCAAGCTTCTTTGCATACCTCCGGTTTCCATCCATGATAAAGGCGAGATGAATCGGCAAAGGACCCATAGATAAGACTCGGAATAAACATTTTCTTGAAAACCCGCAAATCTGCTCGACCAGTTGGCTAATTCCACCGCTCATACGTCTTATTTGACCCGGAAGTTCAACCATTTCGGATTCCCCCTTTCCACTATTCTCTGCTACATTAAAGGAAAAAAGATGCCAAAACATTCAAAAATGCTTATCAATAAAAGGCTAAAACAATATTACGCAACCTACTCCATCGTTTTCATAATGACAAATTGGTTCTACACACACCATAACAGTACTAACTATACTTATCATCTTAAACGATCCATATGTAAACAACGAAGCAAAGAATGGTGCCAAACCAAGATGCTCTTGGAGCAACTAAATCTATCTTCCCCTTTATTCATATTCCACTATCCGCTGCTACCTCAAAGGAAAAAGGATGCCAAAATATTCAAAAAGCTTATCAATAAAAGGCTAAAACAAGATATATCAACTACTCCATCGTTTCATAATGAAAATTTAGTTCTACACAAACCCTTAACAGTACTTAACTAGCTAACATTTATCATCTTAAACGATCCATATGGAAACAACTCAGCAAAGAAAGATGCTCTTGGAACAACTGAATCTATCTTACAAATTAAAGCTTCACCCTTTATTCATACTAGTCCTCAAATGGAAGACTAAAACACCTCACTTGGAACATAATCAACTTAGTGTTTTAGCCTCGAACCCGAATACGGAATTAAGATCCTTACTCACTATAGATCAGAAGACGAACAAACAATTTGTAAATTTGCATGCTTCCGATTTTCCGAAAGAAGATAAAAACCCATTGATGGATCAAACAAGTCAATCCATAGATTCAGATAATAAGTATTAATACTGGAAAATACACAGAAAAGCGAGAAAACTTGAAATATCCAATTCAAGTCTAAAACTGGTAAAACAGATCCTACCTGAGAAATTAGCGATATCAACGACTAGCTTGAAAAAGTAAATCGAACCGGGGAAGAGACCAGGGAGATTTCCGAAGTGAATCTGTTCACTATTTGATTGAAGACAGATAAAATCGATTCTTAAACAAAGTCGTCGACGGTGTGACCAAAATTCTTCGTCGAAGAGCTGTGACTGTGAATGAGAGAGACGCACTGGGAATAATAGAATATTCACTCAAGAGGAAGAAACCGGAAACGGTTAATAAGGGCAAAACCAATCGAAACCCGGTTCAGTTTTTGTATTTTATTTTCCTTTTTGGTCAATGTTCGAGGTTTTTTTGTTTTTTTTTTATTAAAAACGATGTTGGTTCCGGTTTTTGATTTTATATAGCTCTGGTTTGGTGTCGGTTGAGTCCGGTGTACCTGTATTTGATTTTTCATACTAAAGGGGCAGATCTGCAAAAGGAAGTTGGAGTACTTAAAAAGAAAACTGTAATTAAGGGGTCGATCCGCAAACTTAGGTACACGTGTAATTTGGACGGTCAAGATTCGAATAACACAATTCGATCCCTCCATATAATAAAATCCCGCCACAGTGCGAATTTCAATTTGCTTTTATTGTTAAATCTAAACTTTTTATTATTTCATTTATCGCTCATCAAGAAGCAAACACTCAACAAAAAAAAAAACCTAAGGTAAACAAATGGCTCCTACCGACTCAGTCCGAGTCACCCGATTCTCACTAACGATTCTTCGTTTTTGTTTGTTCTCTTGTCTCAGAAGTTCGAGATGAAAGGTGGTCAATCAAAATCTGAAGCGACGAGCACTGATCAGAGGTTTGTTTGCTTCTCCGACTCTTCGTTTTCTCCGCATCTGAGATCCATATTTTTTTTTTTTTTTGCTTCTTCTTCTCCTGATTTTGATTTCGATTTTCTCAGGCTCAAAACGAGAGGAAGAAAGCCTGGAAAGAAGACGACGAAGGATCCAAACAAGCCTAAGAGACCTCCAAGTGCTTTCTTCGTCTTCCTGTAAAAATTTCAGAATCGCAATTTCCTCTCTGCTTCGATTTTTTGTCAATTTTTTTCACTGATTAAAATGTTCGACACTAAGGGATGATTTCCGACGGGAGTTTAACGAGGCGAACCCTAATAACAAGTCCGTCGCTACTGTAAGTACTTTCCAAAATCTCTGGGAAATTTGTTTTGATTCCCACATTCTCAGATCTGTATAAATCTGAATCATATTGCAACATCAGGTTGGTAAAGCTGCCGGAGCTAAATGGAAGTCTATGAGTGATGAAGTGAGTGTATTAGCCATTGAAATGTGCTTAATCGATTGTTATCACCTTTGTCAATCTATACTCAATTGTTTCCTGAATCTATAATTACAGGATAAAGCGCCTTACGCTTCCAAGGCAGAGACGAGAAAGACTGAATATGCCAAGAGTATGCAACAGTACAACATGAAATTGGTATGAAACACTCTCATTGATTCATCTTTCACTTTCTAGTTTGTGTGTGCTTTTTCTTATGCTCTTACTGTAATTTTTCCTATAATATTTGTTTAGGCTAGTGGAACCAATAGAGGTGAAGATGAAGAATCCAAGTCTGAAGTGGACGAAGCAGGAGGAAGCGAGGTTTTTGATTAAGATTTTAAAATTCTTAATTGTATTGATTTGTTTTTCTTACATGTATGTGACATTGGTGTTCTCTTCGATTTGGCAGGAGGAAGAAGACGACGATTGAGGTTTTTAAGTTGTGGTGGCCATCGACTGACTCAGATTTGAGGATGGGATTAGCAGTCTGTGTAAACTTGCTTAGATATAACCTAAAAAAAAATTAAAAACTGGTTATTGCTTTGTGTTTGTGATATTGAGAACCTCATTTGCTACTTCTCTATTTGTGTTTTGTAGGTCAGTTGTAGTGATAATATCACCTGAATGCTATATTATTATTCCTTATTTCCTTCTGTTTAGTAAAAGATTGATTTAGTTTTGAAGTCTCATTTCTACTAATGGTACTGATTGTTGACTTCTGGTTTGTACCTTTTAGTTGATTGAGTCTCTGATTTTGTCAATTTGTGCTTTCTCTCTTTCTCTGGTATGTTGTTGTTTGACTCTTGTGTGGCTTTTCGCAAGGGAATATTTGTGACAGAATCTTTCTCTCTGTTTGTTTGCTGTTGTGGGTTTGTCGGTATGTTAGGAGTCTTTTCATGGTTCGGTAGATTCATGGTTTGTTCCTTTGTGTTAAATCTCTGCTTGTTAGGGTTGGTTTCATAAATTTGAAGAAATTTATTCAGCAAATGGTGTGCTTGGGCAATACTGGTCTATATGCTTGGGCGGCTTGGTTTATGGTTTGCTTTTGGTTCGATTGTTTACGTTTTATCGGTATTATAAAAAACCTAAAACCGGATACAACCAATAAGTTCGGTTTGTTTGTAGCTTAAAATCCATACATTTTTATAAAACACACTTTAACTAATATTATTATTATGCGAGGGAAGAGAAACCCTACTCTACTACACATATGAGTAGGATATATATTTTATTGACTTGAATTTTAGAGATACGAGAGAAAGATTCGGCGATCTAAAAGAAAACACTGCAAGAAACCACAAAAGATGCATCGATTCTTGCAAACTAGGTTGGCAAAATCAGTTGGTGGCTTGAGTTTGAACTCTGTAACTATGCGAACTGGGTCTCGCGGGTTCTCCTCCTCGGCGGGTGTGACGTCATCTCTACCGTCATCACCGTACCTATTGCTTCCTTTGGAGGATGTGGGAGATAGTCTCGATGGCAAAGTGGTAAATTTGAACTACTACGATCCGGCAAAGAATAAAACGGTGAAAGTTGGTAATCAGACAATTCCTGAGAAGATGGGTAGTACGTGTAGCAGCTACATCGGCTCGTCACGAGGCTGGGTAGCTCGTATGAACACAGAAGATCTAACCGTACATCTAACCAATCTGTTCAATCCAACGGTGTCAAAGCCATGGCAAAGAGTGATCTCGCTACCTCCACTTGACCCTATCCGCTCTGGTTCTCCCGGCCTGGATCGGATCGTTGAGGGCGTCTCTCTCTCATCTTCGCCTGACCAACAAGACCCCGACTCGGTCACGTTGGCCGTTAAGTGGAGAGATTCCATCTCTTTCTGCAAGCTTAGCAATGGATCGAATTGGACTCACCTCCATTCTCTCCCTAACCAGTTCGCAGCCTCCGGTGTCCTCTTCTCCGAAAAACACGCAAGCTTTTATCTCACTCCTAACACTTGTCTACTCCCTGGCTCGGACCCAATCAAGAAGATCAAAGCACGTCCCGGCCAGTTCCCTCGACTGACTCATTACCAACAACGCGCTCCTCTCTCTATCCCCAACCTCTCAGACTCCGAGCACCAGCTTCTGGAGAGGTGTATCCGCATCAAACACTTAGTTCAGTCTCCCTCTGGCGATTTCTTCCTCATTTATTGGTTTATCGAGTACACGAGTGAGGGGAAACCCATCCCGTTCTGGGAGGTGGAGCAAAGGAAGAAGAAGGGCGGTGTCGTGGTGCCTACCACCAAGCGGTTCACAGTGCTTAAGAGATATTCCGAAAATGGTGGTGGTTGCGAGTCTTACACGGAAGACATCGGAGATCTCTGCATTTTCTTTGGTAAGAACGAGCTCTTCTGCGTCAACGCCACCAACTGCTCTGGACTTCAGCCTAATTCCATCTACTTCATCGACAAGGGTTGCGTTTGCATCTTCCATCTCGCTACTCACACTTACACCCAACTCGCCAAACTCGACTCTCTCACTGTTCCTTATTGGCTTGCTCCTCCCACCAATCCAATCCATCATGATTTTGGATTTTGTTCTCAATTTCCTAACTATTATTATTATTCCTCATCTTTCTTTATCTCATAATAATTAAATTAATTAATTAGGTCAAAAAAAAAAAAACTAATATTATGCATATGTTGTATGACACCTATTTTTATTACAAGTGATTAAAATAAATTATGTCAAAATTCCATTCATTCGGCTTGGTTAAGGGTTTTGGTTTCGAAGTTTTAAAAATGGTCAAATCAATTTGTTATATGATAAATCAGTTGACAATCGAAAGAAGAAGTATCTAACCAATAAATTTATAATAATTTTTCGTTCGATTATGGGTAAACATTGTGGTTATTTGACTTCTTAGATTATGGTTTTTTTTTTCTCCCGTACTAGACTCAACAATCAACATCATTAGAAGCAACTTAGCCGTGGAGGACATCGAACATCCAAACATTGACCAAATAATCAAATGGTTACGAATGGTTTTGAGCATTCTTTATAAGATTAAGACTGTTGCTGCCTGTCTCGTCGAGTTTCTCATTGTTAGCTTCGTTGAATTGTAAGCCGCAAAAGATTGTTATCATTATTTGACTTCGGGCCGAGAATGTGGTTGAAGTATTGGACCATTGCAATTAATATTTGGGCTATATTATAATAGGCCAATACTATGGTTATCAGGCTTAATCATGTATTTTGGTGTGCCTTACTAGATAGATAGGCCTAGTTAGATATTCTATTTGGGACCAATCTATAAAGGAAAAAATGATTTAAAGCAAAGGACTATTCCATTTTTGTGATAATGATTAAAGAAGCCGCGAGTAGAGGAAAAATTCGATTGCATGTGAGTCTGAAGCGACTTTTAGAAACCGATGTGATCAAAGACAAAAATGATTAAGGTTGGTCCCATAGACATGTAGATGTGTAAGTTTAGGTTTAGTGCTTTTTTATGTTGCAAATTTTATAATATAATGGAGTTTTATGTTAGTATAGTCTCTATCAGTGTTTTTGGATCTCAGATTATACGTAAATTATGAAATATTGGGTCTTTCATAGTTATCTATAAATCTTTTTTTTTGTGTACATGTGACTACTCGATTTTCAACCTTTTATTGTTTTCCTTCTTTTTAATGTTTCTAGTATTTTCACCTAAGTGTTCTTCAATGAGATTTGAAGATCTCTGCGATTCTTGTATACGTCTATATTGGTCGACACCTTAAATATCCTTAACATTTATAATGTTCTATATGTTTTTTTGTTGTTAAAGAAATGTACTAAATGTTATTAAGTGTTGATGCGAGGATGCATTTATATATGAACAAGTCGAGTTCATTGATCAACGAAGTTGGGTCTTAGATCTTCGTTATGAACATAACACAAGTCAGAATAAAAACGAAAAGAAATTAGAATGTTGTATTGTTTGATTAATGGTGAAAGAGTTAAAACTAGAAAAATCATGATAGTTAGTATCTAGGAGCTTTTCCTCTCTAGGAAAAATGATTCAATAGTCGAATGCTCCCATTTGTAGCAGAGTGGACCTTAACGAATTACCCATCTCTCAGAGCCACATGATTATATAAAGCTCTTGTCACACCATTATGTGACTTATGTCAGCTCATGACCCATCGGTTAGCTGACTTAAAAAGGGTTAAAATCAGGTCAAGAACGGTCCCATTGGTAGACAAAGCCAGTCCTCGGCCCAAATTTGGGTTCACAGCTATAATTCTATTATCTATTTTACAGGCTGCTAGATTAGTAAAATACATTGGTAGTCTAGTGGTAATTAAAACCTCTATTGAGAAAAAAAAAAGTTAGGGGAGTCATTGCATAGTCTTAATGGCTCTAGGGTTTTAATGTAGAGTTTCAATCGTATATATACAGATGTAATAATTTTAAAAAAATTAATGAAAAAGACGAGAGGAAATAAAAGAAGTAATAATGGAGGAGAGTCGAGGGAGGATACGAAGCACATGACGATCCATCATTAATACATATAATAAATGAATATAAAAATATCAAAGCGTGTTTTGAGTCATAACTTTACAACTAAAAGCCCCACAAAATGCCATCACCATCACCATGAGTTGTATGTATTGTATTCTTATCGAATCCACCTTTTTAGTTCTCTGTAATACATGAATTAATTAATTTAGTATTAGCTTTCATTAGCTACAATAATGTTGTGTTAGGTCGTTTACGTTATGAATTAGATTTTTTGTGTGAAAGTTATGTTAGTGCTATCAATTTTGAGTCTTCTTATTAAAAAGAAAAAACCATCAAAACAAATTATATATGTGTTTTGATTTCCTGCTAATTAATGATCGGGACTTCTACTCCAATTGTTTGTACTAGAGTTGAGTTTGCGTTTCGCGCGGATTTTAACATATGTTCATGTTTTTATATGTTATTTTTGAAAAATAGTTTGTTTGGTAAAACTTTTTTTTTGGTTGAATAATTTTTTTTCTATGGTTTGCATTGCGTTAACAATGCATGTGTTTTATTGTAGTTATTTTTAATAGTGTTTTTATATAACAACAAATTTGTTTCTCTTCATTTTTATATTCTTATAGTTTGTTATTTTAATTTTCTGTTTTATTTTTTCTTCGATTTTATACTAAAATTTATTTTATTTTATTTTATTTGTACTAAATATACTGATTATGAATATAAATATACATGTATTAAATGCATATTTTAAATATATTTTAATGTTAAATTTTGTGTGTTTATACTTTCATCATACTTTATTTTTAAACAGCTAATTCATCATATTTTTTTTCTTATTTTTCTTCATTTTATTAAACTTTTTCTCCATCATCATATTAACATAGTTTGTTATTTTTATTTTCGAGTCACAAAAATAGTTATTTATTTTAATTTTTTTTTCATTTTCAACTTTTTTGTTTTCATATTTTCCGAAATTTTTCTTTATTTTATGTTCTTTTTCCTCTTCTTCTTTATCTTTTTTTCTTCATCTTTATCTTCATCTTCTTCGATTTGTTTTTTCTTTATCTTTTTTTTTTAATTTTGTTCTTCTCTTATTTTTACTTCATCTTCTATTTCATCTTTATCTACATGTTTTTCTTTATATTTGATTTTTTTCTTCTTCCTCCTTTTTTCTTTTTTATGGTTTTGAATTTCATTTTCATCATCGTTTTTTTTTAACTACTTCTTCTTATTATTTTTTTCAGCTTTTACTCTACTTTTTCTTGATAACAAATAATTATTATAAATAATATGTGAATTAATTAAATCATTATTTTTAATATTAGTACTTTTCTTTTACTTTTAAATTACAATAATATTATAATGTATGAATTAATTGAGTTATTAATTTTAGTTTTCTTTCTATGCTGATGTGGACACTCTAAGAGGAGAGAAAACTCTCTAATTATATAAGATTATTATTATTATTATTGATGTAGTTTATTATATATGAGTGTATAAGTTGTAGAAAAAAAAAATTCTAAATAATTTTATTATGGGCAAAAAGGTGTGATTTATCTTTATATATTTAAGAGTATAAAAATATAGGTAGTTGGGTGATATCGAAATTCTATGGATCATTTAATCGTGTAACGTTTTCTAATAAGTCACTTTGTTTTGGGGTTATTGACTGGGTACGTAGAGGGATTATTAATTAATCCTGAGAGCCACTAGATTATTACAATGATTTTTTAGTAGTTTAATTTTATTTTTTTTGTGTGCAAATAGGGGCGAATCTGTTTTGACGAACTATCCATGCATACATATATAATTGAAAAATACATAACTTAATTAGTAATGGGTGATTAGTGTTTTGCATGTATGCAGAGCTACGTCTTGTATGCTTAGTTTTGTGTACTAGATTATTACTATGCAAATAATTAGAGTGAAACAATTGAGTAAATAGTTTGAATGCTAGTCGCTAGTTGTTAACCTTTCGACCATTAAATTTGTTTCTTATAAATACATTTAGCTGTTTTATTAATCTGTTTTTGAGGTTTTTGAGAAACTATATATGGGTTGTGTGTTATGGTTGCTAATTCATATAGGTTTTGGTCCAAATGACCAAAAGTTAATAAATTGTTATGTTACAAAACATGTTAGACCTTTTTTGTGTGTTCATATTATACAAAAAAAGTCACCGTTACATATGCATAAGTATAACATTTAATGTTACTAAGAACCGACATGTCCGTTTGTCGATGTTAACATAAGAAAGAATGCAAAAAAAGAAGGAAATTACAATATTAAATAAATTAAGAATTTAGGTTTGATGAAATACATTATATTGATGAGGGTTATTCTATTTTGAGAATAACTGAGTTATTATTGGGGCAACGGGCAAATAATTTTTGTTTTCAAAATAACTAAGTTATTATTGGGGCAACGGGCAAATAATTTTTGTTTTTTCTTAAAGGAGTTGATTATAGAAAAATGACGGTCCAATGTCCATGCTGAGCTGTTCGTTATATCATAGTTTCTTATGTTGTTGAAATTTTCGTAACACATACAACAAGTATTATTTCCCATAATCTTTATTGCATTAACTAATTAAAGTAGTTATTGAAGGTTAGTACCGAAGAGACTGATTTCACAATCCAACCACTCTTCTGTACACGTTCCAACTTACAAAAGAGAATGAGAGTTCTCATTCATTTTGTTCTCTTCTTCAATAAAAAATACTATTAATGAAGGAATCTCTCAACTTCTCTGACGAATTTTCGATTTTCTAAGTTTACTTGTTGTAGATATCTTCTGAAACAACCTTCAATATACAACTATATTCATGATATATATATATATATACATGAAAACGGTTCTGCCAAACTAAAAATAAAACTTCATATTTTTTAAAAAGAATAGAAAACTAATTTCCAGCACTATTCATTTTCGATGATTATATTCTTTGTCATTCACAATAATGAGAATAATGATAAGATGGGTTAAGAAAAAAGAATAATGAGATTAATAATAACGGTTAACAAGAAACTCAATCAATTAATCAATAATTATTAAATTCGGAACATAATTATTAATTATTACTTAATTTGGAGCGGCTCACAGCACGTACGTACCGGAGAAGAATACTCTGTTTATCTTTGAATCTACACGTTTCTTCTCTCTCTTCTGCAAAATTCCGTTTTTCATTTTCTCTCTCTCTCTCTCTCTTCAAAAGTGAGAAAGCGACCAGAGTTCCGTACTTTGGATTAGATGTGTCTCGTCTCGCTGTTTCGTCAGTTTCCTACTACTCACCACCATTAGTCTTCTTCTTTCTCTCTCTCTGTCTGAAAACGACTTTCCTCTGTTCCCCCAATTCTTCTTCTTCTTCTGCTTCTTTCTCTCTCATCCTCTCACAGTCTCCATTTTCGAGGCTTACATTGATTCACGAGAGACGATAATTCATTTACCTCTCTCGATCGGTTCATTGCGTAAAGCTCATTCTGTTCTGTTCCTGGTTTCAGAATCTGTCTCTATATCCAGAATTAGGCTCTGTTCTGTTTTTATCTCTCTCTAATAAAGTTTTATCCTTTCTTCTCTAAAACGACAATTAATAGTGTTTCAAAAAGTTTCCGAAGTCCACTCTCTCTCTTGTCGGATTCTGGGTTTCGTCTCTATCTCTCTTTCTGATGATTCATCAGATCGGAAATTTCATCTCCGTTTGAAAAATTCCATTTTTCTCTCAATTTCTTCACCGGAGATCCAATCGCCGGAAAAATGGGAGGATTGCTGCATCTCTTCGATTTCCATAACAACAGTTTCTCCCGGAAAGTTTTCTCCCATCACAAAAGCCGCGATGAAGGTTAGAAAAAAATCAAATCTTGTTTCTGGGTTCTACAGTTATCTTTGAACATTGATCAATCATCTTCTTCTGCAGATCTGGAAGCTCCTAGGAATAGCTTCGAGCTTCAAGTCGACAATTTTCACACATACCATAACGAGAAAGATAAACCGGTAATTAATAACGAACTTACTTCTGTTTTTATTTACTTTCTCTGAAATTGGAAACAAAACTGGTGAATAACTGTTTTTTAATTTTGATTTTCATAGCAGAGTTATGGATTTGAAGAAGAGGAATGGTACGAGAGAAGCTGTTACCCAATTGAGGAATCAATGAAGAAGAAGATCATCGAGGAGCTCTCAAAACGTTCCAACGATAAACAAAATTCGCCGAGTCTTGTAGCTAAGCTGATGGGAATGGATGCAATTCCTTTTGAGTCAACTAAATCAACGGCTTGGATCAATCCTCGCCAGACTACTAAAGCGGATCAATCAGGTGGAAAAAGAAACAAAAAGGGGAGGTTATCATCATCATCATCATCAGTGAATGTAATGGAGACAGAGGAGATTAATCCACCAATGCGTCGAGAACATCCACAAGAAGAGGAGCTTCAAAGATTCAGAAGAGAGTTTGAAGCTTGGCAAGCTGATAAAAGGTTTAAAGATTGTTCAAGAATCGTTGATTCAGGCTGCGTGGTGGCTCGTGAAGACAAGGAGAGGCTTTTCACAAGAACTAGGAGCTTTGGTCGAGATTTTAACTTGAAGTCAGACAAGAAAGCTCCTACAAGGATTGTGGTTTTAAAACCTGGTATTCAGAGAGTATATGATTACGAAGATTCGTTAACTACTTCTTCAGGGACGACCATTGAAGGAAGCAGAGGAAGCAGCATTGAAGAGTTTCTTGAGGAAGTCAAGGAGAGGTTGAAAGGTGAGCTTCAAGGAAGAGCTCTCAAGAGAAGTTCGTCAGTGAGAGGAAGCGGAATCGAGACTCCTTTCAGCGAAAGACCATTTCCGAGGTCTGAATCGATGAGATCATATGCAGCGAGCGAGGTTCAGTGCAATGCACCAGACTCTCCTCAAGAGTTTATAAGTAGAGATACAAGAAAGCTTTTGGCAGAGAGACTTAGGAATGTTTTGAGAAAAGAGATGAGTCCTTCAGATGATTCTGCGATCAAATGTAGCCGTTTGCGACCTACTGTATCGGATGCAGAGAGCTTGCGGAAACAAACTGAGGAAATCAATGAAGAAGACTCGAGGGAAAACAGAAACATTCCTAAGAAAGATTCTTCATCACCAAGAAATCTCAAAAGATCACTATCTGCTCCTGTCTCAGGGACATCATTTGGTAAGCTTCTGTTAGAGGATCGACATGTTTTGACAGGCGCGCAGATCATGAGAAAGCACGAGGCTGTAATAACAGAGCGAGATGAAACAGAAGCAGAAACAGAACCAGCTGTTGTTGTTGATCCAATCAGGAGGAAAGAAAGATTTAATCTCAGGAAAAAAGTTTCCAGCTTTAGATCAACTCTTAGAGGAAGAATCTTTGGTAAGAAGATACGTTCAATGATCGAATCAAACAGTTTTGAGGATGAATCAATCAAAGATTTTGTGACGGGTTCAAGGTTTAACAGCTTTTACGATCGAAATGTAAGAACTTTTCTACTTTCTCTCTCTATCACCAATTTCAACTGTCCTTATAATCTAAACTAAATACAAGTTTTGTTTTTTTTTTATCAGGAGAATTCAACAGAAGTGCCTCCAAGTCCTGCATCAGTCTGCAGCAGTACACCAGAAGAGTTCTGGAGAAATGTTGATTATCTCAGCCAGATTTCGACACCGGATGTGACTGTCTCGGATGAGAACGGTATGCCTCAAGTCTTCAGAGACATCAGTTCCAATCTAAGTGGTAAGAAAACAAAACAAAGTTTTCTGCTTTTTACTTGAAATGTTCCACACACTTCTTGAAGTGTTTCTCATTCTCTGTTTCTGCTGAATTCAGAACTAAGAAGGCAGATAAATGAGCTTGACTCCGACATACAAGTGCCAACGCCTTTGGAAGAAGAAGAGGCGGCTCGAGAGATTGAGAACATTGTTGATTTAGGAAATCCAGATAAAGTATTTGTTAGAGATCTTCTTGTGGCTTCTGGTTTGTATGAAGGAACAACAGATAGATCATTGTCTAGATTCGATCCATTTGCAAAGCTTATAAACAAGTCTGTTCTTGAAGAAATAAAAGAGAATTTCAAGGAGAGAAGCAATCAGAATCAAGGAGAATATGATAGCAAAGAGAGTAGTAGAAGTGAAGACAATCATAACATACTGTTTGATCTTTTGAACGAAGTACTTACGGTGGTGCTTGGACCATTGACAAAGTCAGCTTTCAAGAAGAGATTTATGAGCTCGTGTGTATCTGAATCAACGTCTATACGAGGTAAATATCTGTTGGAATCAACTTGGAGGATCATGTCGGAGTATTTATATTCTCAGCCTGAGAAACCCTTTTGTTCATTGGATGGGATCATTGGTTGGGACTTTGAGAGGTCCCCATGGAGTGGTTTGATAGGTGAAGAAGTTATTGTGTTAGGGAGAGAAGTTGAAGGTATGATCATGGCGGATCTTGTTGAGGAAGTTGTTAAGGATCTAAGAACACAAATGGTTTAAAGATCAGAGTTAAGATATTAAGCAGAGCTGATTGGTTTGGATTGGTTAATGTGATTGGTTTTTTGGTGTGTTTCTGTAAATAGGGTTTTTCAATGGGGTGTTTTTTTTTTAAGAGGCGAGTTTCCACGGTGCCTGTAAATGTTTACTTGCAGTACAGGGAAGCTAAATTCTTCTCATTGCTACATAATTTCTATTTTACTTATATACTAAAAGGAGTTTATAAATGTAATGGTGCACACTATTACAAATCCAAATGGGATTTGACAAAATTGGGCCAAATATAAACCAATTGGGCCGGATTCATTTAGTCTAGTTTAGAGGTGGGTAGAGTTGTCTTTTGGTAAATCAAGTCATCAAACATTTTTAAATATTACCATTACGTTTCAAACGTAGTCTTTGAGCTTTGACTCTTTTCTCCTAACACATATGTACATAGTTTTTTTTTTTTTGGTAAACACATATGTACATAGTTGTATATACTTTGGTTTACTAGTGTACACCGTCTATTACATTTGGTTTATTGGTCACTGCCAGTGATGATATTCAAATTGTCACATAAATGTGGAATTCGTAACAATAATTTTGCTTTACTAACATTCAATATACTGTGTCTCTATGTTTTTGAAATTTTATGGGCAATAGAAATTTGTATGTGGATACATAATAAGTAGCATGGAAAAACATTTTCCTTTAAACACAATTTTGGTATCGGTTTGTGGTGGGAGGACTTATGTTTGATGCCGTAAATTTATCTGTCGTCTTTCTTCCGAAAATCCAAAAGAGTTCCGTTGTGTAACGATATGACTGGCAATGGCATGAATGTAGATATAATCTCTTAAGCTGCGCGATTCTCTGGCATTTCTAACGTTGTTTTTGGATTATTTGCACATGAGATTCTTTCAGATTTTTTAGGGCCTGAGTGTTGCGGTTGCGATTACGAGTGCGGAAGTTTGCGGAAGCGGACGATTGCGGTTTTAAGCGTAATTAAGCGGTTTGGACGACTGGTTTAATTGTTGAAAACAAGTCCGTTTGCGAAACATTTTTGACTGACTAACCAGCGGATGTTTCAGCGGTTAAATATAAAATTACTAAAATAAACATAATATATAATTATAAAAAAACACAAAACTATATTATTATGCTAAATATCAAAATAACTAGTTCAAAATAATTAATAATAATAAAAAAATTATAAATAAATACTAAATAATTATTCAAAAAACTAAAAAAAATTATAATGACATGTTTTATTTTAGTTGTTGGAAATATTACCCAAAATTATGTCTAGTAATATAGCAAACTGGAAATTTTTTGCTCCAAACGTGAATTTTCTGGATTTTTTATGCATAATATAAATTTTCTTCAATAGATCTAATCGATTTTTTACATAACCCAACTCAAATCAACTTATTTGACAGAAAAAGTGATAGGTTAGGAGTTATATGTATATGAGAAGATTAGCACGGTTTGGGTTTTGTAATTGTTTTTAATCGTGATTTTCTATTTTTTTTTTCTAGCATAATTTTTTTTATCTAACCGCTACCGCCCGTAACTGCAAACGCTGGTGGGAATCAGCTTTTGGATTTCAGCGGTACAAAATGATACAGAGCGGTTTAAAGCGATTTCTATAATTATTATAAAACGCCATTAACCGCTACCAACCGCAAACGCTACGTTTGCGGGTGATAGCGATAAACCAATCAACACCTTAAAAATGTTAACTTTACTTGTTTTATCCGTGTTTTGAGGATGTCTTAGTTTATCTTTAAGGTTTGTTTATGTTAAGGATATTCCACATTTCTAGAGACTTGATAAGTTGTTTTAAATGGAGTTTTTTTTTTCTGTTCTTTTGTATATTAATTGTTGGCTTTCATGATTTTCATTGATTGACCTATCTTTCTTTCACTGATTTTGTTTTTGAGAAAAGTTTACATTTTCCACTGGACTATGATTTTTTTTTTTTTTGCAATGACCTTTTTTACATATATCTTGCATTCCTTCATATAATCTACTTTGTATACTATTTTAATTTGTATTAAAATTATGGAATTATCGGAGTTGGGCCAGAAAAAATATTGGCCCAAAATACAGAATTCAGCTCATCTACCCACTCGCGGACCAACTAAGTGTCGCCTCGAACGTGCGAACCAAACGAGCTTCGAGCTCGCACGTTCGAGCTCCGAGAAATCCGGTCAAAATCGATTATATTCCTCTAACAGCTCGGAGTCATTACGGACATCACGGAAACGGCATAACACGAAGTGGCCCGAGATACGCGGCGGCAGTTCAAAACCCAAAGAGAAGTATAAAAAGAGCTTGCAAGAAACAAAGAAGAGACATCTTTTCCCCCGGAAAAACCCTAAAATTACAGTTATCTTTTTGTACACATTCTCTTAGAGAAATCCTGTATTCTTCTCCGATTAATTCAAATAAAGTCCAATTTCTTCAATACTTTTCTATACTCGATCGATTCAAAGATAAATATGACCCATCGTTATAAATCTCTTCCCTAAAACTATATACAAAATTCTGAGTGTCGATTTTAGCAACCACATTTTGGTGCCGTATGTGGGGATTTATCAGATTTTCTTACTCAAGAGCCGATCCTAGAATCGCAAGCAAGAAAATGGATTTAAACCAATCGTCAAAGAGATCTACCTCTCAGGACTCGCAAAGCTCCGAATCCAGTCTCTTGATCGTCGGATCGAGCCTCCAAGCTGCCACCAGGCCGGACCTCCGAACCCCACCAGCAGCACTCGTGGGAACTACCACGGTTGCGACCCAAAGCGTATTGCCAACCGAGGCAGGTCGCAATGCACCACCTCGGGAGCAGAATAGCTCTCGTAACCCTGTCGCATCCACAGATACGACGTCGATCAGGCCGCTACCAGCGCGTTGTCAGCCTATGCAGCCCAAATCTCTAAGACGTCTTAGCGTCGAAGAGGTGGCCAAAATACGCTGCACTATGACACTCCTGATTGAGAGGCAACATGAACTTGAACTGATCATCCAGAGGCAGTAGTTCGAGCTCGGCCGTGAGAGAGGCGAGGAAACCTACATCCTGCGAACCACTCTCAATTTCTCACCTGTTCAAACCTCTTCGAACAGGCAATTAACAATCTTGGTCTGCTTCGGAACAATTCCCGATTAGACCATTACGACGTATCCGTCGACGGTCACTCCTGAGTTAAGCAGGACACTGTGATCCTACGCAAGCTCATCCACAGATCGCCTGCCATCGCCATCCCCTCCACCAAGGAACGGATCTCCTACATGGAGGTGGAACGACCATATAAACCCGAGCTCGGTTCCACAATAGCAGTTCCAGACCGAAGCAAACGCAGCAAATCAGGAATATCCGCAATTCCAGCATGATGACCCAAGAACGAGCAACGTAGGCTCGTTTGCCGCCAGAGAGACTCGCTACAATCTCCCAGTCGAACAGGGTAACGAGAACCGCGATAACCTTAGAGATCGCGATAACCCCCACACTATGATCAACCGGGAAATCTTCGAGAGATATGCCGATCAAACTCACAACGAGATACAACTGCTGAGTTCGCAAGTTGCACGACCAGTTCAGCACCAGACATTGATCGGGTAATCGAGTAAACTCGAAGAACACTATTTACACGGCGAGTCACTGATGTTCGACTTCCTGACCTCGGTAAAATCAATATCCCAGAGTACACTGGGAAAGGCGATCCGCGACCCCATCTCAGAGCTTTTAGGCTTGCCATGACCGGAGCTCATTAAGACGAAGAGGAACAAGACGCAGGACACTGCCGTTTCTTCATCGGAAATATAACGGGCCCCACGCAAGAGTGGTTCTATACATTCAAACCCAATTCGATAGACAAGTTTACTCAGCTTGTGTCCGTATTCTTAAAGCAGTACTCCGTTTTTATCCAGTCAAGAAAAACCGAAGCTGAATTTTGGAAACTCAAACAAAGACCCGGAGAGTCTCTCAGATCCTTTATGGACAAGTTTAAAGCTTTCAAAGCCCAGATAGCTAATCCAAACGAAAAAGTCGCCCTACTAGCTCTGCAACAAGGACTAGTAGTTACGTCAAAATTCTATAAATTGATCAACGTATGAACTCCCGTCTCATTAGACGACGCCATGCACCGAGCTACCCAGTTCATCTTCCTCGAAGAAGATATCACAGCTCGCAAGGACAAAAGCGTAGGTGCTCCTCCCGGGAAAAAGATATCCAAAGAGAGACCCAAGGGCGAGGGATAACACATCTACGTCATAGATAGCCCCGAATCTAAGAAGGGCGAGTCTAAAAAAGCAAACTTTTACGAAAGCAAATTTTGCACATATCACGAAAAGAAAGGACATTCCACCGAGGAATGCCGAACTCGGATAAGGATGCTAGCCACGAAAGACGACCCTGAAAAAACTGAGAAAACCAAGGAAAAGGCTGAAGAGAAAGGAAAAAGCCTACCCCTAAGAAAAGAAGCGATCTGACAATGAGGAACCCCCGGAGTCTCCACCACCAGCTCCTCGGAAGAGGATCGACCTGATTTTCAGAGACCTCAGCATATACTCGAGTCGAACGTTAAGCCAAAGCAACTACTCGAGGGACCATATCACGAGATCTCTTTTCTGGAAAGCGAAACGCTCTGCCTTGACAAACCACACAACGACGCACTTGTAATCCAGCTCGATGTGAGTGGATTCGAACTATCTCGCGTCATGATCGACACTGGAAGCTCTGTAGATGTCCTATTCTACGACGCTTTCAAGCAAATGGGTTTCTTCACCTCCATGCTTAGAGGCGAAAAAACACCCCCTAACCGGCTTTGCCGGAGAGACTTGCTACTCCATGGGAACTATACAACTCCCAGTGATAGCGTGAGGAGTACAAAAAGCAATTGACTTTGTGGTTGTAGATGAAAGTGCATCATACAACGCCATCTTAGGCAGGCCATGGCTCTACACCATGAAGGCAGTCCCTTCTACATACCATTTCCGAAAGGAGTCCAAACTGTGCGCGTCTGCCACCAAGCTGCCCGACACTCCTATATGGGATGCTTTAAACAAGCCAAACGATCTCTCACATAGCAATCACAGAAGGAGGATGAACTCGCGATGCATTGAATAGAAAACGACAAAGATCCCTCCGTGGGAAAACCCCGCAGAGAGCTCATTGTTCAAAAATGCATCGACGATGCTCATCCAGAAAAATGCGTA